TTATTTGGGTTTTTGTCAATGACGCGGCTCAAAAAAACTTTTTTTATCAAATAAAATTATCATGAAGAAAATTTAAAAGAAAATCGAAAATTGACCGGCCATTTTATTTTAAGGGGAAAACATAAAAATAACATTATGGCTATCATTTTTGATAGAAAAGTGCTGACTTGTTTTAACTTTTTTTTTCCCTTTTAAAATTTTTTGTTTTACTGATTTAAAAACTATCACTAAAAAATACCAATTCTATTATGCAAAAAAAAACGTAATTTAAAAATAGGAAAAATCAACAACAACAAATGAATGAGGATGTAATTTATCAACATTTGGACTTCTGTTTATCTGAGTTTATGTGATGGGGATGCCAACAAAAGATATTATCAGGAACTTGACAAATGGCTGTTGTTGTTTTATTTTCTCAAAGAAAGTACATGTACACTGTAATTGTACATCTGAAATTTTAGATTGAACATGTAAACAATTGACATTCTAAAATTTTCCTTGTTTACTTGTTTGTGGACTGTAGACAAGGAAACAGAGTCATAAAGTCACTGACCAGACAGTTTAAACCAAACAAAGATAAAAATAATTATAACCTGTAAAACTTAGGCGGTCAAAATATGATTTGAGCCGCGTCACGACAAAACCAACATAATGGGTTTGCAACCAGCATGGATCCAGACCAGCCTGCGCATCTGCACAGTCTGATCAGGATCCATGCTGTTCGCTATCAGTTTCTGTACTTGTTATAGGGTTTGTAAGCGAACAGCATGGATCCTGATCAGACTGTGCGGATGCGCAGGCTGGTCTGGATCCATGCTGGTCGCAAACGCACTATGTTGGTTTTGTCATGACGCGGCTCATTTGTAGTTGTAAGGTTGTGTTTACAAAGCCAAGTACAGATTCTATCAGCAAATTCCAGGAAAGAGCCCTTACGTGTAGGAGAACCCTGTTGCCTATGACTCAGATGACAGACATCACCATAAAATATAGTCATGACTAATAGCTCACCTTGTAGTGACCACATGTACATTAATATCAAGATAGATAAACATGAACAGGGAGTGAAACAAGTTCATGTAAACAATGATAATCATTCAACTGACCACACCACATGATAATGGTTATCATACTGTATGATAATGGTTATCATGCCGTATGATAATGGTTGTCATGCTGTATGATAATGGTTGTCACATGACTGTTGTCACCTACAGATTTGTAATAATACTGGATCCTTGTATAGCTTTGTAATAATAATAGATCCCTGTATACTTTGTATTGGATACCTCTATACTTCGTTATTATAACAGATCCCTGTATACTTTTGTAATAATAATGGATCCCTCTATACTTTGTTATAATAATGGATCCCTGTATACTTTGTTATAATAAAAGATCCCTGTATATTTTGTAAAAGTAATGGAACCCTGTATACTTTGTAATAATAATGGATTCCTGTAAACTTTGTAATAAATGCCAGATTCCTGTATTGTATACTTTGTAATAATAATGGATCCCTGTATACTTTGTAATAATAATGGATCCCTGTATACTTTGTTATAATAATGGATCCCTGTATACCTTAATAATTATGGATCCCTGTATACTTCTAAAGTTTTCCATTTTATTTAAGCTACCATATTTACCTATACTAAAATGTTGTTATCTTTCAATTGCGAGAAAAAATAAAAACATGAAGCCAATAAATGAACATGAAACAAACAAAAAATTATAATGTCAATTAAATATGCAATTTGTACAGACAGATATGCACTAAAGTCATTAATATAATAATGAAGAGAGATTTATTTAAACTACTATGGCCACGAACTTGAACACAAGAATTCTATGCACATTATACAATGAAATTCTCTTACTAAATAACTTAAATGTAATGATCTTAAATGGTGGTACATGTATAAAGTCAGTTCAATTAAAATAACAGAATAAATTGCTCACATCAATATATTGACTTATTAGGTGTTAATGCCAATATATTATTAACTTCTAGAGTTTATCACATAACCGCGGCGCGAAGTGTAATAAAGCCATTTAATAAAAACGATATTACACTAGACAATATTACACTAAGTGTAATAACACTTTGATGTCACATCATTTGCACTATAAACATAGCTTAAAGCGTGCTAATGTTAGCGTTACACTATAGGCGCGTCAAAGAAAAATGACCCCTGTTAACAGTTTACCGTTCTTATTTTATATATGTGATAAATAGAATATTATATTTGTGTAGATTCAATACTTAATTTATTGAACTTCTTCGCCAGAGGCTCGCATAATATGATTTTATTCAACTCGTTCAATAAATTTAGTATTAAACCTACACTCATTCAATATCCTCTATGTATATGCCAATTAAAGACGTTTTCGGGAGTTTTCATAATAGACATGTAGGCAAAACTTAAACTGTTCAATAGAATTTCTATAAACTTGGCATGTTGTTAGAAATGTGAAAACAGAAACATTTTAAGCGAAAAAAAATTGGGGTCACCGGTCTCCTTTTTGAGTTATCTGCCCCTGAATCAGAATTGTTACTTATTTGAGGTCATTTCAAGGGCAGATAACATATACATACTTAAATGAATTCTTGTTTTTACTTCTGAAATATGTTTTTCTTTTTATTGTTGAGTACAATACATAATAACATGCAATTCATTATATCATTTCTGTTAATTTTTTTCAATGAAATTAAAAATACTTTAAATTCTTAAAAAGTAGGCCATTTTTTAAGAAAAAAATGCACAGATTAAAAGAAGAAGTGGAAAAAAAACTATCCACTCTAAATTCCTTCTTGCATTTTGCATATCGACTAAAACGAAGGTAAGCTTCATGAAAATAAGAAAAAAATTGTATTGTTTCCTTTCATTGTAAATTATCTGCCCTTGAATTTAACAAAAAAAGTCCAATTCAAGGGAAGATAACTCAAAAATGAGAACGGTGACCCCAATTTTATTTTTCGTTTTAAATGTTTCTGTTATCATATTCTAACAACATGCCAAGTTTAAAGAAATTCTATTGAACAGTTTTAATTTTGCCTATATGTCTATATGAAAACTCCCGAAAATGTCCTTAAGTGGCTTATGACGTATTTTTGCCAATATAACTGGCTGATGAAGTGTTTAGTCAATGTAAATATTATTGGCTTATCAAGTGTTTATGCCAACATATTGGTTTATAAACAATAAATATTAATTAGTTTAAAGGCATTTGACTGTTGTAATGAAACAACTGGATATCTTATATTGAAGTTTATGAATATTACACCAAGTATATGACATGCATTTTCTATTTATTATATTTCAAATTGGCTCTGCAAAGACCTTATGGCAAGTTTCCCAGCTGTACCTTACGTGGTACACCTCAGATTTCCCAGTATTCTTTACATCAGACTAAAACAGGCACCCGATCAACAACAAACTGTTCATAAAAAAGTTTATCCATGACTGAATTATTAAAATAATTTGGCTTTCAGTACAGATGCATGAAAGGTGCATGATTTATATTTTCTAACAAAATCTAACAAAGCATAGTTAAAAACTAGAAATGTGTCCATAGGACACGGGTGCCCCCACCGCGCCACTGTTCTGTCAATCTTTTTACTAAGTCAAGGGAAATAACTCTACAAATACTGGATAAATTCACAAGCGAAACCCCAGGTGCAAATCTAAATATGCTGAGCAACCTACCCATAAGGTTTAATGACTATGTCAAATCCTTTTTGAGTAACTTGCGACACAAGTTGAAAATTGCAAAAATTTTCTAAGTGAAGGGCAATAACTCTAAAAATACTAAATAAATCCAGAAGAAAATACCTGGTGCATAACTGCACATGCTGATCAATATTCCTGTAAAGTTACATGACTCTAGATATGTCAAATACTTTTTGAGTTACGTGTGACACATGTTGAAAATTGCAAAATTTTACTAAGTCAAGGGCAATAACTCTGAAAATACTAAAAATATCCAGACGAAAATACCCAGGTGCACAACTACACATGCTGATCAACATTCCTGTAAAGTTTCATGACTCTAGGTCAAATACTTTTTGAGTTATACGCGACACAAGTTGAAAATTGCAAAATTTTACTAAGTCAAGGGCAATAACTCTGAAAATACTAAAAATATCCAGACGAAAATACCCAGGTGCACAACTTCACATGCTGATCAACATTCCTGTAAAGTTACATGACTCTAGGTCAAATACTTTTTGAGTTACATGCGACACAAGTTGAAAATTGCAAAATTTTACTAAGTCAAGGGCAATAACTCTGAAAATACTAAAAATGTCCACACGAAAATACCCAGGTGCACAACTACACATGCTGATCAACATTCCTGTAAAGTTTCATGACTCTAGGTCAAATACTTATTGAGTTACATGCGACACAAGTTGAAAATTGCAAAATTTTACTTAGTCAAGGGCAATAACTCTGAAAATACTAAAAATATCCACACGAAAATACCCAGGTGCACAACTACACATGCTGATCAACATTCCTGTAAAGTTTCATGACTCTAGGTCAAATACTTTTTGAGTTACATGCGACACAAGTTAAAAATTGCAAAATTTTACTAAGTCAAGGGCAATAACTCTGAAAATACTAAAAATATCCACACGAAAATACCGAGGTGCACAACTACACATGCTGATCAACATTCCTGTAAAGTTTCATGACTCTAGGTCAAATACTTTTTGAGTTACATGCGACACAAGTTGAAAATTGCAAAATTTTACTTAGTCAAGGGCAATAACTCTGAAAATACTAAAATATCCACACGAAAATACCCAGGTGCACAACTACACATGCTGATCAACATTCCTGTAAAGTTTCATGACTCTAGGTCAAATACTTTTTGAGTTACGTGCGACACAAAAGTGAACGGACGGACGGAAGGACGGACGGAAGGACGGACGGACGGACGGACGGACGGACAAGGGTAAATCTAAATGCCCGCCACTAACGTGGGGGCACAATAAGGCCTTATCACAGTTGTGTAAAATGTATGTTCATGTTGCATGTAAACTGAGCCAGTCAAATTTAAACACATGACAGCTCATACATACATGAAACTCCTCATCGCACCATGTTACAGTTCGTATCTTATGCTCAACATACGAACCTTCCGATTTCTGTGAGCACTTGTAACCAATCTGTGTTAAATCGTGATGTAAACACGCAGCTACGTTTGACATCACTTCATCCGGATGTCCGACAACATCCTCTGCTGGTATATGGACATAATACTGCCCATAACACTTCTCGAAAGATTCATATGTTTTAAACTTTCTATAATACTGCTTATATGCTTGCTTTGAAAACTGTAGGTCTCGAGGAATTGGTTGATTTTTTGTTGTCACGAGTCTAACGTTAGAGACAAGAGCCTCGTCCTCCTCCGCTTCAAGTCTAGCCAATCGAACGAGTTCGTCACGAACATAGTTATAGCACACAAGTCTTTTACGAATATTCTCTCTCACAGTGTATTCAGCGAAAAGACAAGGAGAAGACTTTAATATTTCAATAAGTTCGTCAATACCATAATATAATGCCTCCTTTAGTACTTCCTCTGCACATTGAACTGGTGGTAAGATGTCATCTCGCAAATAATTTAAAATGTGATTAAAGTAAGTTCCATCTCTGAAAACAATTAAAGATATCATCAGCATTAATCAAAATCATCCATGTAAGCAAATTGAATAACAAATAAAAAGAAAAATGCATGAAACAATCACAACTGGAAATGTTGGCCTTCTTTTAGAAAAATGTAGCATATCTGTATATGTTTTATATTTAATATTTTGCTGATTTGTTTTGGCACCAATTCTCTGTTAAGGTAACATGAAGGCTTTAATTGAGTAGAACCACAACACTTATAATCTGATTATATAGCCTGGCAAGACTTGAACTCACATCAAGTAAGGTCGAAGTAATTAAAAGTTGGTGAAACTAACCTTTTAGCCACAGACAACCATTATTTTGTGTTAAGTCATAAATTCCATTAAGTATTGAACACAAGTATTAATATAAAACTTAAAAGTTATCATAATATTTACTCTTTTATGTATTAAAAGCAACTGTCAGTGGCGCATGGCTGTGTGGTTAACGCGGCGGATTAGTAATCTAATGATGACTTTCCGCGTAGGTTCAAACCCTGTCAGGGGCAAGCAGTTGTTTTCTTGAGTAAACTTCACTCATTGTTCAGTACCTATTGGTTCCAGGAATGGATTCTCTAGTGTGTCTTTAAGCTTCCTACACAATTGAACAAGAAAATGTACCTGTCAATGAAATAGTTGTGGTCACTGTCTGTGTCTATATCATGTCGTCCACTAAACATAACAGCTAACATTGAATCAGGGAATCTTTGTAACGTAGCCAATCTTGTTGCAAACAGTTTACCTCCAACATTTAAGTTTATTACATTTGGAAACTGTAAATATATAAATGAAAAAATATCATTACATCAGCATATCATTGATTAGTATTATAAACACATGTTATAACAAGACATGTTCATGTTCATCATGTTCCATTTTTCTCAGAGCTGGAAAGTTAAATTAAAACAACATAGAAAAGCAGGCACAATTTGTCAAATCGGCTGAAATGTGCTTTAGTAGCAGACTTACATATATTGATGGTCAACAAATGTTTTAGGTTTGAAGTGAAAACCTTAGTCATGAAAGGGAAATAAAGAGGCAAAAATGGATTTATGGATTATCTGCCCCATAGAAATGCATCTCAAATTTGAGCATGAACAAGTACTCCCAAGTTTAAAATGAGTGTCTAATGTACCTTAACAAAAAAGTTAATCCAAAGTTAACCAAGAAATTCAAAGTCAAAAAGGGGGCATAACTGAGAAAAAAAATTACAAAGTTACATTTGTACCTGCCCTAAAGAAATGCATTCAAATTTACAAATTGAAGAAGTATTGTAAGTTTGAAGTGATTAACTTTGGCAGATTTTGAGAAGTTGACCACTTTCGCACATCTTCATAAATTAAGTTTGCCGAATCAGTAGTTCGACAAAACCACCATAGTTCTTTTTTAATTTGTGGCAAAGGCCTGTCCTTTCAGTAGAGGAAAAAATGCAACAAAAATCACATTTTAAGAGGGGGACCCTTTAAAAATAGTCTAATAACTTCAAAATTGTAATGATATTGAGTTATTTTATATTCATATGACCTTTAACCTTAATACTCATTTCTGTAAATTTCCACTGACCACGTTGTGCCTGTAGAATGTTATATCTTGGGAGATTTCCCGCCAATGCATCAGTCCAGATAATAAAACTGACTAGAACACACCTGTGTCTTTTCTCTTATTATATTCACATTTGTGAATCGCATGGACCAACTTTAATAGTATATAAGATATACAAAGAATATTACATGGTGTCAGAATTTATAGTTGGAATAAAAGATAACAAAATATGGAATTAACAGGACTTTCTGTGCCAGTTATAAACTGGGAAGCGTCAAATCTTCCTGAACAATGGATTAAATTCCAAAGGCATGTGGAACTGATGTTTACAGGGCCGCTCAAGAACAAAACTAAGAAAGAAAAAATATCATATTTGTTGATATGGGTCGGTGACAAGGGCAGGGACATTCACGCTACATGGGAACCCTTCACTGGCGATGATGCTGAAAATCTTCAGGCTTATTATGATAAGTTCAAAGCACATGTGCAGCCGTCCTTGAACCCGATATTTGCGAGGTACAAGTTTAACAATGAAGTGCAAGGCACTGACAGTATCGATGCCTTCATCACAAGACTAAGACTAAGTGCAGCAGATTGCAGCTTTAAAGACAAGGACGAAATGATCAGAGACAGAATTGTTTTTGGGACAAATTCTGGAAAAGTACGAGAGAAGTTGATAAACAAAGGCGAGGGATTAACACTCGAAAATGCTATTCAAATCGCACAAGCACACGAATATGCACAGAAACAACTTCAATCAATGGCAGCAGCTAATGATGTACACCTGGTTAAGCAGCACAAATCAAAACATAAAGGATACAAGAACCAACCATTTCAGCAACCTAAACAACAACAACAACAGCAAAGAAATTATCATAACACTCAAAAACAAGATGGAAGAAAACCACTGAAATGTCAACGATGTGGACAGAACACTCACAGACAAGGGTCAAAATGTCCAGCTGAACATTCAACGTGTTACGCATGTGGAAAGCAAAATCATTTTGCAAGCGTTTGCAGATCTAGAAATAAAAACGTTGACAATGTGAAGTATTCTGAATACAATTATAGTGACAACGTTCATTCGTAAAATCAGGATTATTACGTTGATATGGTAAAGTTTTCATCTTCTACTCCTGATCGTGCCTTTGTTCCAATTAATGTCGGTCCTTCCCATATTCCTGTTAAATTTAAGATAGATACTGGGAGCGCGGTAGATATTCTACCATTGAGCCATTATGAGAAATTAAAGATAAAACGACCTCTTGAAATCGCAGAAAATAGATTAACATCGTACACAGGCAACATGTTACCTGTATGCGGTATAATAAATCTGCAATTGCGCTACAACAACAAGACTAGCGAGTCATTATGTTATGTTGTTGATAGTCCGACAGTCCCGCTGCTAAGTTTACAATCGTCTGTTAACTTAGGCCTGATAAAGCTCACCTATTCAATAGACAGGTCAAATACAGAATTAGATAAACAAAGGGTCATGTCAGAGTATGGGAACTTATTCCAAGGTGTAGGGGTTATCCCAGGTGAATGTAAACTTCACATTAAGAGTGATGCTGTTCCTGTAATAAACGCACCTAGGCGAGTGCCGGAAGCTTTAAGGGACAGGCTTCACGAAGAACTCCAGCGCATGGAGAATGATGGAATAATAACTAAGGTCACTGAACCCACGGACTGGGTGAACTCCCTAGTCATGGTAGAAAAACCAAAGACAGGTAAACTCAGTGTTTGCCTTGATCCAAAAGCTTTAAATGAGGCTATAAGGCGACCTCACTACCCAATGCGTACTATTGACGACGTTACATCAAGACTGACTGATGCAAAATACTTCAGCATTCTTGACATTACACACGCATACTGGAGCATCAAACTTGATGAACAGTCTTCATTATTAACAACCTTCAGCACGGTATTCGGCAGATACCGTTGGTTAAGACTCCCATATGGCATATCTGCATCGAGTGACATATTCATGCAGAAAGTAGATGAAATTTTTGAAGGATTGCAGGGTCTAACAGCCATAGTAGATGACATTTTGATATATGGGAAGACACGTGAAGAACATGACGTAAACTTGCGTAACGCCCTTGAAAGAGCACATTCCAAGGGAGTAAAGTTCAATCCGGACAAATGTATCATCGGGGTAAATGAAGTCCCATTCTTTGGTCACCTTATAACATCAACAGGGTTAAAGCCAGATCCTAGTAAAATAGAGGCAATTATGAACCTCAAAATACCAGAAAATAGACAGCAACTTGAAAATGTTCTTGGTATGGCAAATTATCTGCAAAAAATTCTCTCCAAACCTAGCAGAGGTCACAAGCCCCATGAGATCCCTACTAAAGAAAGATGTAGAATTTGTTTGGGATTTTTCCCAGACAGAAGCATTTACGAAAATGAAAAACATAATCACAAGTACCCCTGTTCTTGCATATTTTGACCCGAAACAGAGTGTAACTCTTGAATCTGACTCTTCGATGCGTGGGGTCGGCTCAGCCATCATCCAAAATGGCCGCCCAGTTGCCTTTGCTTCTAGGACATTGACAGAGACTGAATCTAATTATGCTAACATAGAAAGAGAGATGTTAGCAATACTGTTTGGTTGCACGCGCTTCCATCAGTATGTATACGGTAGACATGTAATTGTACACTGCGACAACAAACCTATTAGCTCAATCATGTTGAAAAGTTTGTCTGCATGTCCACCGAGACTTCAAAGAATGCGGTTACAGTTATCAAAATATGACCTTGACGTACGCCACGTTCCTGGAAAACAAGTACCAATCAGTGACTTACTTTCTAGACAACCGCTTCCAGAGACATTACAATTAGAGGGTCTCGACTTACATGTACATACAGTGTTGAAAGGGTTACACATAACCGATAACAGACTGGAATCAATCAGGCATGAAACTCAAAATGACACGAGCATGCAGATTCTGAAGAGAACTATTATTGACGGATGGCCAGTTTCACGTGCAGACTGTAAACAAGAAATAATTGAGTTCTGGAACCACAGGGACGAATTGTCGTCTGTAAATGACCTTATATTCAGAGGGCAGAGAATCGTCATACCTGTCTCTGCAAGAAAACAGGTGATTGAATCAGTGCACCAAGGTCACATGGGTGTAGAAAAATGTTTACAAAGGGCTAAAGACGTAATGTTTTGGCCTGGCATGACAAAAGAAATCACGAATCATGTCTTAAAATGTGCTTTATGTCAAAAGTACAGGTATTCTAACGCTAAAGAACCATTAACTCCCCACGACGTGCCGGACCGACCTTGGCAAAACATTGCCGCTGATCTCTTCTTCTTTGACAGTAAGGACTACTTGCTGACTGTCGACTACTATAGTAGATACTTTGAGGTAGATGCTCTACCTAACACACAAAGCATTACTATAATTAGAAAGCTAAAAGTTCACTTAGCAAGGTATGGCATTTGTGACAAACTTGTCACTGATAATGGGCCACAATTCTCTTCTGAAATATTTTCAGATTTTGCAAAAGATTGGGGGTTTTCCCACATAACATCCAGCCCACTCCACCCTAACAGTAATGGATTGGCCGAAAAAACAGTGTCGATTATTAAACGGATATTCAGGAAAGCTCAGGAGAGTAACCGAGATCCTTATCTCGCGATACTTGAGTACAGAAACACCCCTCTTGAATGTGGCTTCTCCCCAAATCAATTACTAATGGGTAGAAGAACTAAATCTATTCTACCTACCACAAATTCTCAGTTACAACCCAAAACAGTAAATTGTAAACAGGTACGCGAAAAGATGCAGAAAATAAAGCAGAAACAAAAAAGTTGCTATGATAAAACATCAAAGCAACTACCCCTTCTTACACTTAATGAGTATGTCCGCATCAAGGTCAACAAAACATGGGAACCAGCAAAAGTGATAAAAATTCACAATGACCGATCCTACTCTGTAATAACTCATGCAGGTGGCATTTACCGCAGAAATAGGCGAATGCTTAATAAAACTGAAGAAACTTTCCCAGAAATGCAGGAATTTTCCCCCAACATTTTGGCTAATAACCCTACCACTCCCTCAATTAATGGGAAAATTTCAGAATCACATGATGCTGACCACTCATTGACCTCCAATAAGCCCAGCCCAATTGACCACTATTATCACACACGATCAGGCAGGGAAGTGAAATTGACCAAACGATATTATAATGAGAAACATGGTGAACAATTGAAAGAAAAAAAAAATACTGAGTGTTTACTAATAAGAAAACATCACAAACAAAAAAATAAACTATAAAGAAAAATATATATATAAACTGGAATAAACACATACTTTGTTTGATAAACATAATTATATTTGTTTATATAAACTGATGAATTATTTAATTGATATTTAAACATGTGTTATTCTAACGTTATTTTTAAATTGAACCATATTTCTTTATGATTTATCAACAAGTGGATACCATTCAGCTATGTATTTAAAAAGAGGGAAATGTAATGATATTGAGTTATTTTATATTCATATGACCTTTAACCTTAATACTCATTTCTGTAAATTTCCACTGACCACGTTGTGCCTGTAGAATGTTATATCTTGGGAGATTTCCCGCCAATGCATCAGTCCAGATAATAAAACTGACTAGAACACACTTGTGTCTTTTCTCTTATTATATTCACATTTGTGAATCGCATGGACCAACTTTAATAGTATATAAGATATACAAAGAATATTACAAAAATAAAACATTAAAAACAGTGAAAAAATTCAGACAGCCCTCTTCCTGGCTTTGAATTCCTGAAACATTTCTTTATCAACCAATTCATCTCAGTTGGAATCACTAAAGGTACAAGCATTTCCTCTAGACTGTGAAAAACTGATCAAACTATCACATCCCTTAGCAAAAGGAAAGGCATTTAACTTGTAGTTATATTGCAGTTATTTAGCAGTTTTTTCAAATAAATGCCTTTTTTACAATTTTTTGCCCTTCATCTTAATTTGTAGGATTCCATTTAAACAGCAGTTCTTAAAAAACTGGTAAAAACTTGTTGTTAAAAAACTTGTGTCCAGCATTTTTTACCAGTTTTTCAACATTTAAAAATAAATGGTGATGTTAAACAATACTTACATTACCATTTTTTACAAGTTATTTTCTTGAACCATTTTTTTAAGCTAAAAGATTGTGACAGAAGCTGCAGTTTTTACAAGTTTTATTTAAATGCTTTTAGGAAAATATAATTCATGCACACTAATATTCACTTAATACCTTGTAGTGCATCATAGCAATATTGCCTTGCAGAAATATATACTGGTATTTAAAAAGTCCCAGTATTTCCCAGTTATGATCCTAGAAAATTCCAGAATGTTAAAACCAGTCTTGGCTATTCTAGTGTGGCATAGGAAATACCAGTTACTGAGAACTAGGCATTTCTGATAATTTTTAAACAACTCATCAATTTCTAAGTTATACTAGGAATTGTAATTTATTTTCTGAGATTTCTAAGACTTAAGATTTTGCAAAATTCCTAGTCTTTAGGAATTACTTAGAATTTATCTTGTAGAACAAAATCCTTAACATCTGTGCTAAATTCCTTGAATCTTACATAAATTCCTAAAGACTAGGAATTCTCTTTGTTGAAAGTAAACAAGTAGATAAAGAAGGAATTAGACAATAAAATTGAAGATAAAAATGTTTTTTTTTAAATAAAACAACATAGGGCCTACTGATCTAGATCTATTTAATAATATTTTTCTAGGATTACTATCATTATTTAGATTCTAATTGAAATTTAATAATCAATTGACCTTAATGGTCAACCTGCATTTCTGACAATTTTATCATTGGCCATTTAATTAATAGATAATAGGAGTATATAATCCAAAAAGAAATAACAAATGTACAGGCACTCCAAGTAAATCAAAGACGTATTATTATAAACCTTAAAAAAATCAATAATTGACATCTGAAGTATGTAATTTTTATCAGTTGTGTAGAGCTATTTTTAGCGCTCTCAAATTGCATCCACTGATGTCATGCTTCAGTGCACAGGCTGTGTGTATAAACCACTTTATACATTATACTGCCTGTTGACATTTTTATGGAGTGTGATTTGAACATATGTAGATCTAATTAGGGGTGGATTTAAGGTGATAATTATTGCATAGTTGAAAATCCAAAGTGGCAAATTGACTCTTGTGCACATTTTTTCACGTGTCATATTTGCATGTGCATTTCCAAATTTTCACGAGTCAAAACCCGAATCCCCGCGTCAATAGAGAGTCCTGAATTAAAGTAGGCTGACGGATATTAACGATGATAACTTAGTCTTTACTTAACCAGCGAACCTTTACGATTATACTCGAGCAATATCCGTATATTTACGCTAACCAAGACGAGCATAATTTCATGACGTATTGGATACGTATACTGATGACGTAGCAACACAATTGTTTTGGAAACTACTGTAGCATTGTATGAAATTCAAGCGCTTGTTGGGCTTAAAATAATAGATTTTTGAAATAAAATTCAACGATATAATTGAAATTATTCAGTCATTGTATTGACGGCAAAAACAACAGAAGTACACGAAATTTTGCGAATCAAGCACATGTTACTGACGTAGTACACATGTTTATTACGTAGAACATAGGTTTATTGTGCGCGCAATATTCAAAGACGGCAGACACTTCGTCTCTTATCAACAGTGAACTGATATCGTCTCCCCAATAAAGACATACAACGAGGAAGGTGAAATAGCTCAAGCAAATTATCAGAAGATCGAAGACCTTCAAAGCTGCAATCGGTGAAATTCACTGTGAGTATTGTCATAAATGCACTGATTTTTTCCCAAACAGAGCCGGCGTGTTTATGACCCCTAGAAAAAATGAAGAGTCTACTCAGTAGAGATTATTTTAATGACCTTTCTTCACTTCTAAAAGCATTATTTTGTAACAATTTGCCGACTGTAACAATAGAAATAATAATTGTATTTCCAGCTTATTCCTAGTTACAGTTAAGATACTTAAACCTTACTGGAAAAAATGCGTAAACGGACATTTGTCACATATTTTCGCGACCTGTTTTTATTTATTTCTTTGTTGAACAGGAAAGATATAATAATAATGAATAAAAAAACAAAGCATCGTTGAAGATGGTTGTGCTTCCCTGCAGGAAATTATTTGCTTATGCCCTCTAAAAGTTTAAAATATTGTTTTGAAAAATGCATGTTAGCAAGTTTTTTTACTTCCAGACAGTTTAATACCCTAGTATGCAGACAGTTCACTACCTTAGAAATTTTGCACTTGTATTAGAAAAAAAAAGTTTTTCATAAAGAAACAATATTTTTATATCACCATTAATTTATGTAGATCTAGTTATATATTAGAATATGATAAACAAGATCAACAAGAAAAGATAATGTTCAATAAGCCTACATCATGTCTGTATTTTAAAATAACACATTACTGACTGTATTTTTAAATCACAATAAGATACCTCCAAAAATTTATTTGAAACAGAAATCATGTTTTCTGTTTGTTTTTGATTTGTATGTGTGTGTTTGAGTGTGATTTAATCTCTAGATTTCTGTGCATGTATAGGAATTATTGGACCACTAAAAAGTTGTCAAGGCCACCAAAATTTATCGGTCAGTGGTCCAGTCCCAGGTGACAGCCTAGCTAAAATGGTTTGTCTTTGACACTGCCTAAGCCTATACTAGAGAATCTGAATACTGGTCCATTAAAATAAATCCCACATGATGATTTGCAAAGAACAAAAATAGCACAAACAGTGACTGTCATACTTTAAGCACTAACCTGAATACATTGCCTTAATCTCAGTCATTGAATTTAAGATTTTTGAATATATACTTGTCCGAATTCCAGTTTTGAATTTATTCTACTATATATTTAATTTAATTCTCTTAAAATTTACACTGGTCATGGGCCACCTGGCCAGTGCTTAATTCGATGACTGTAATCTGTTATTGTATTAGGGGGCAGGACGTGTAGTGGTTGAACACGCTTGAACAAGATATTTTTGTGGCCCCACTTTAGTGGCGAACATTTAGATTTACCCTTGTCCGTCTGTTCTCTTTTGTGTCGAATGTAACTCAAAAAGTATTTGACCTAGAGTCATGAAACTTTACAGGAATGTTGATTAGCATGTGTAGTTGTGCACCTGGGTATTTTTGTCTGGATTTATATAGTATTTTTAGAGTTATTGCCCTTGACTTAGTAAAATTTTGCAATTTTCAACTTGTGTCGCATGTAACTCAAAATGGGTTTGACATAGAGTCATGAAACTTTGCAGAAATGTTGATCAGCATGTGAAGTTGTGCACTGGATATTTTCGTGTGGATTTATTATCTTTTAGAGTTATTGACCTTGACTTAGAAAATTTTTGCAATTTTCAACTTGTCGCATGTAAATCAAAAAGGATTTGACCTAGTCATTAAGCCTTACGGGAAGGTCGGTCAGCATATGACTAGTTGTGTACCTTGGGTTCCGCTTGTGGATTTATTTCGTATTTGTAGAGTTATTTCCCTTGACTTTGTAAAAACCGTTTCATTATGTTGTGTTATTTGTTCCTTGAGTGCTTGAGTTAGAATCAACCAACTTTACAGAAATAATGATCAACATCACTAAATTACAGGAATAACAATGATAATAAATAATAATAAAAAATACACAGTATATTTTCATAAGTTTGCCTTTTTTTGGTGAACTTCAAAACTTACATATGTGAATAAATGAGCATAAAAACTGCCCTGGATTTTCACTTATCAAATTTCAAAATATGTACATGACCAGTTTATAACTTCAATAGCTTTGTATAACCAAAAGCTACAAATCTGAGGCCCAGAACAGAGTGTGTCATAAACACTTCCTTCATGAATGGCCATTTAAAAAGAAAATCAAATAACATACAAACCCACTTACCTGAAAATATATGTGAGAGTTTTGTAAATATTTAAGACACAGAAACCATTTTGTCAAGTTTGCAATGATTTTACTCGCTTGAACCAAGTGTGCATTCACTTCACGTCCTGCCAAGTGATTTGTATTTATTTCGTATTCAAATATCTTGGTATATTTCCATATGTAGAGAAATGTATTTGTTTGATTTCAGATAAGAATTGGTACCACAAGGCCACAAAGGGAGGAGTTCAACTTACTCGTGGATGATGTTCAAAGCTGAGGAGAGTGAGAGCTTAAATCTATAAAACGGGTCAAAAACTTTTGATATAGAAACTGTCATAAATTCTTCAGTTAATTGAAAGAGGGCAAGTTGTACAAAATGCCATGGAGCTAAATATACATGGAGAAGAAACTGTGATGTCACACAGTTAAATTCAGTATTGTGTTCAGAATTGTGGCAGAATTGTGTTCTTATAAGTTATCATATGTCGGGGATTTTCAGAGATTTGATGCATCCTGGGTAAAAATAGCCAAAACACCGTCATATTGAATTCCCGAGGAAGATGAAACATTTTTTTGCTTAAATAAGAAGCAATAGTTATTTATTGTAAAAGGTACTATACACACTTTTCTATACAAATATTTCTCTGATGAAAATCTATGTAGGGGTATGTTAACAATAATTCATGGATATCGTCTAAGTTTAACGAGAATGCGAAAATTGGAGACTATCGGGAAAACCCAATTATCACCGAAGCCTGCAAAGGATTGTGGGTCTGAATCTGACTATTATCTATTTTTAGAGCTTCCTATCTGTTGTGTGTATATATCTGTGAAAATGCAAAGAAGTCGTTGGATTACCAAAGATCAACATTTCATTTGATTACCAGAGATCATCAATTCACTGGATTGCAATATAACGTAAATGATGTACACTAGACAGCTAGGCCTTTAGAATATAAAAGATATCACCATCAAAGAAGAAATAAAATAACTTTTTTAAAATGTTATCCAATCTTTTAATGCTTTTAAAATGTAAGCACTATTTGGTGTAACGTCTTGTAGGCGTTACAAGAATTATATGGTGTTTTTCAACATTTTGACCATTTTAGAAGAGAAATACTATGATTTCTTTTTCGTTTTTGTTCATAACAATGTCATTGGATAAGATTTTTGTACTTAACATTTTTGCTCATTACAAACGCATATATGGCCTTTAATCTCAAAGTTCAAAAGATCCAGAGGCTTATTGTGAGATTTTTGACAGTTCAATATGTCTGTTGTTCGTCTTAACAATTTCTAATGTTAAATACATTAAAAAGTGTCCAAAACTATAAGTCCACACAGTAATCAAATTGGTTGCCTAATGAAACTAAAAGGGCAATGCTTTTGAGTTCATGAAAAGTTAGGGGATTTGGTGATTTGTAAGAAATCTATGTACATACATATGTGTCAATGTAATAGAAATTCCATGTACATGTACATTTATTTTCAGATGTGAACAGTTGTTAACAGTATTATATTAGCTCAAATAAATGCAACAGTTTTTTGAAAGTTTTTTTGCAGTTATTTATGAGGTCATATAAAGGCTTCAGTAGTTTTTTGAAAGTTTTTTAATGATGTCATATAAATGGTTGAAAATGCAAACACAATTTTTTGGCAGTTATTTATGAGGTCATATAAATGGTTGGAAATGCTATCTCCATATTTGGAGGCAGTTTTATGATGTCATCTCATTTACATATTTCGGCTGATTTCAATGCTTTTTCAATGCTAAATAACTGCATTTTAAATGCATTTTAACTGCATTTTAAATGCTTTCTACATAATCACATTTGTCAAGGAAAACTGCTTAATAAATGGTTAAAACTGGTCAGAAAAACAATGCTAAATAACTGCAAGTTAAATGCCTTTCCTTTTCCTAAGGGATACTTGATATACAGTCCAGTATATTATATGAGCCGCGTCATGACAAAATCAACATAATGGGTTTGCGACCAGCATGGATCCAGACCAGCCTGTGCATCCGGGCAGTCTGATCAGGATCCATGCTGTTCGCTTACCAACTACAATACAAGTAGAAAAACTGATAGCGAACAGCATGGATCCTGATCAGACTGCGCGGATGTGCAGGCTGGTCTGGATCCATGCTGGTTGAAAACGCACTATCTTGGTTTTGTCGTGACAAGGATCATATATCATTATAGTGCTTTGTCCATTAAGTACACATACTGTAACTCAAAGCAACGTCAAATTATACCAAATTTTAGGCATAACTCTTGATAGTGACATTGTTATTCAGTCTCTTCATTATCAAAAAATGCAAAACTTGTAACGAGTAACAACAGCATGTTTACGACAGTCAATTAATGGTATTGCATCTATGAAATCCATCAATGATAGGGTTTATTCTTATACTATTTCAAGAGAAATATATCCGAAAACTACTCCACTTGAGAAATCAATGTTTTCCAGATTTGAATGAATTTTCATCAAAGTGAGTTAAGAAAAAGGAAAGTAAAGTAACTACAATTACTGAATTGTTAACTTGCTCTCGTCTTTCGCAGTTGTCATCTTTCTGAGACATAATTAAAGGTAATAAATATAAAATTCAATTTTGTTTTGAGGGAGATAACTCAGTTACAACAATGGCATAGACTAAAACACAAACAATACAGGTATGATATGAAACGGTAGACAGACATTTCATTATTGAGACGGTTCATACCAAGACGATTCACACCAAGACGTTTCACTCCCTTTTATACCAAAATTATTTTGATACTTATGATATACAAAAATAGACCTTAAATCATTTCAGTTATTTAACTTCTTTATTGTTGTATTTAGTTATAGTTCTTTAAAGGTGTTAATGGAAAAGTTTCTGTTTCCAATTGGCTGTTGTCAAAAAAATAGTTTAATGGTCAAATAAACACGGCCATAAAAAACCAAGTTTCTAAGGGTATGCTTTTCCACGTGCTTATCGTGCAAGGTGTACATGACAAATCAATAACTTAAGTACACGATTATGAGGTGCCCGTACAGGTGTATCGTTAGCAGAAATATGATTTTAATATGATGATAATAGGACTGAAATATGCAATGTCAAAAAGGTGATCCATTGCTCATTTTGAGTTGCAAATAACTGATTTAATAGGGGTGTCAAACTGTTGATCGTTTCATTGTTTGAGACTTACAAAAATAATCAGTATAATTAAAATATTGATATTTTTTTTATTATTTTCAAAAATATTAATAACTGTACTGGTTAATGGTAATGATTTCAATATTAATAACCATGGAGCTAAATATAGATACATCTGTGTTATTACTGATACTTATATGTCTTTGTTGTTCTTTCTATCTTTTTTTTATTATAAATTGAATTTTCTCATGTTGTTACTCTTAAAATAAAAGTGATCTTTCAGAAATTTGTCTTTCATTCAAATCTCTTATCATTCAATCCAAATTTAAATGAGTAATCTTCTAATAAGTTTTATTAACAATAACATTGAAAGCAACTAAATGAATCATAAAATTGAATTTCTCTCTAAAAATGTTTAATAATGAAAATAAATTTGTTAACTTTTCTAGTAAACACCTTTAAAAGATGGGAGTGAAACGTTCATACAATTGATAAAGTGGGAGTGAAAAGTTTAGGTATGAACTGCTTTGGAGTGAAAGGTCTCAACAAAGAAATGTCTTGCGGATGAAACGTCTGGCATTCACTTTTATGTTAGGACATATTCATATTTTCATACTAAAATGTAACATATGTTGACTAGAAATAAAGATGAAGCTATATTCTTTATCCGTGTATTGTAAACTTGAAAATCCTCAGGATTGTGAACACATTGCGATCACAATGTGAAAAACTCAAATATGTCGCTAACGACGGTTCAACCCAACAGCAAGGCTATTAGAAATGACCTAGATTAGTGCAACCTATTGTATTACACATTGAGATATTGTGATAAATTGCGTATGGATATGGGCAATATCTTCCCTCTACGTACAATATTTCGTACAATGTGATAACTACCATTTCTGTTGTGAAATATGTGCGCAAGCTTAGGGCCGTTGTTCTAAGCGAGATTCTGACCCAGAGGAAAAATTTCTCAGAATCTAGCTTTGGCACGTTAAAATATTTTGACTAGAAATGTCCTATACATTTAATCAGTGCACTTCTCTCCGATTTATTTGAAAGGCAGAACAAAAATTAATTGACAATCGAGAGTTCGCTCTACTCCACATACACTGTCCATGACATCAATTAATTAGAAAGCAGCATTTATGTCCATGAAATTCATTATAAAGCTTTAGCTATCCATTTTATTCTTTTCAAAACATCAACTGTCCATGGCATTCATTACAAAGCATTAACTATCCATAACATTTATTGCAAAGCATCATCTGTCCATAACAATCATTTCAAAGCGTTAACTATCCATGCCATTAATTCCAAAGCATCAACTGTCCAAGACATTCATTGCAAAGCATCAAGTGACCATGACATTCATTACAAAAATCATCTGTCCATGATATTCATTGCAAAGCATCAACTTACGATGGCATTCATTACAAAACATCAATTGTCCATGATATTCATGGTAAAGCATCAACTGACCGTGGCATTCATTACAAAGCAGCAACTACCCATGACATTTACTACACAGTATTATTTATCCAAGACATTCATTACAAAAGCATCAGCTGTCCATGATATTCATTACAAAGAATTAACTGCAAAAACCGCAACCCATGTAATAAGACACTGTCATATTCTTGCTATCTCAATAAGACACACAATTAAGAAGCTAGCTCAATTAGTTTCTTTTAGCCTCGAAGCCAGTATTGTAAACCTTAAAACTCTTCAGGCGCTGACCGGAATTCAAACCTTTGGACCTCTCTTTTCAAGGCGGACAGTCAACCACGTCGCTTAAACTGGTGGAACTAGCCTATACCTGCAATAACTACACTTGCTATTATCAATTACTTGAAATGTAAGATCTGCCGTCAATGTTTTTTTTAACTTGAGGATGTATTGTTGAAATATAAATTCTTGAATATTTTTTTCTCAGTAAGTGATTAAAATATACAGTTTAGAAAATAGTAAAACTACATTTGGTGTTTTAAACCTCGTTGCATTAATGCCAAATTCTCTCCAGATACTTAAAATGATTAGTTATGAATAGAAACCATGCGACAAAAACAGATATCATTCCATTGCAGCAATTCATAGGTAGTTTTATATAAAGACAATTGTACTTGTTCCCTACAGTCTCAGCATCTACATTGTAACATGGAAGACAAATAAGGGAAATAGAAACACCCAATTATTCATGTACAGAACTCTCAAGTTTTCATCCACCCAATACGCATCACGCATTTATCGGTACACTATTAGTAGCATTACATTTGAGCGAAATATGAAAAAAACACGTTTATATGACTTTGATAGTTTCAAGTTTTCAAATTTTTATCTAAACAAATCGGCAAAATTCCTTCCAGTGGCTATTAACAAAATTACATTATCAAAGATTTGAATTACAAATTTACACGATTTTCACGTCATTTTAATAAAAAGCTTTTATTAAACAACAACTTTATTTTCTAGATCGTGATGAAATATACACCATCGAACGGAAGATTGAATTTTATTTCAGAATATGATCATGAAACTGATAAAAAAAATCGTCTGAGAATTAACCGAACAACATTGTTCCCGAGTTTTGTAAACGTTCAATTCGCGCATCTTATACAGTCTTTTAATACTTTTAATAATAATAATAATCAATAATAAGAAATGAAAGACTTTTAAAAGATAACGTATAAAGCTTTAATTGAGATTCATCCATATAAAACTGGACTTTGATCGTTGCTTTCAATGAATAATATCCAAATGCAGTTAGAACGCGGACTGGCTTTTTTGTTGGATACGCAGTTTGTATTAGAACGTATTAATACGCTATAAAATAATCTGCATTTGTATAAGAATCTATTTACAATTTTTTTTTAAAAAAACTTATTTATGATTTCAAATAAACATTAAAATAAATAAATTTAAAAATAATACGTTTACAAGAAAAGCAAATACATGTAAGTGAGCCTACCAGTTCTTTCAACATTAGATTAATCTCTTCTCAGAACAGCAATTGATAAGTAAAAATAATATCAAATCAATAACGGTAACTTCTCTTTCTTTATATTGAATTATGAAACGTTTCAATTTCTCTGGTTGTTTGCTTTTTTGTGAAAAAAAAAACAAAAAAAAAAACCCAACAATATAACTTTAAAATATAAATAAGAATATTTAGTGTAATACTCAAAGGTTACACTCCCCATTTCGAGCTAAAACATGTTGTAGTGATGATTTCAGGACTTAAAGGGTGTTTGAAAAGAAAAAAAAAAGTATTCAGCGCTATAATCAAGTTAGCGCAAAAGTTGAGACAAGATAAATGATATGTAAAATATCAAAATGATTGGTCGCTATAATATATTTTTTCCTTTAACAACTTTATCTTCACATTCTAATTCAACACGTCTGCATAGGAAGCAATTTGTCAATATTTAATGTATGACAAGATCGAGTTTCCGGAAACATCATCCGTTATTCGTCATAACGCTTCCAATTGAAAAAAAACAAAAAAACATTGTGCGAAATTACTTTGACTTTAGGGGTAATCTTACAGATGATTAAACGGTAAAATGTCTCATATTATGTTTGCAGCTATTCTAAGAATTACAATGTTTCTTATAAAATAAACACGAATGCGAGGTTTAGGTGAGAAAATAATCGTTTTTTTTCTAGTTTCAAAATTAATAAAAGCACGTTCGATCATTGATAGCCTGACTTGATATTAATAAGAAATCTCATCCGACGGCTATATTATTTAATATTCCAATTGTTATTAAATATAGCTACACACATTTTTGTTATCATTGCATGATGTGATCGCCATTTATAAGCTTTGTTTGCAATAACAGCCATATTGAAATCTCAAATAACGTACGCTTTTTAACAAAAATTGTGCTGATCAATTTTCAGAAGTTAAATTGGTAACAGAACGCCTAACGATAGAACCTTAACAAAATATAACCAACAACAACAAACTCAGACAAACCTAGACGAACCAACCCAGACAAAACAATCCAACCCAAACCACCCAACCAAGACAAACCAATCCCGACAACCCAAACAACCAAGCTCAACCAAGCCCAGCCCTGTCAGCCAACCAACCAACCAACCAACCAACCAACCAACCAACCAACCAACCATCCAATCATCCACTCAATCATCCGCTTTTTACACCCTGAAAATAATTTGGAAAGTGAGGAGGGTGTCACGTATTCTTTTGAATTGACATAGGTAGAGTTACTCAAAATTCAATCGCTTTCAAGTACCAAAAATAATAACAAAGAATCATTTTATTGAATCCGGTTGAAAAATCACGTTTTTGCATTTGATCATACATTTCGAGGGTTGACAGCAAAAGTGCAGTAACTTATATGAAATAAAGAAGGAAAGTACAACAGTTTTGCATTCAACCCTCGATTTGTTTTGCTTCGACAGTTTTGGGAATACTGGCGCAAATTGCTGTTAGATAAATGTGATCACCCAACCAATCAGCAACATCCACTATAATTCCGA